TAGTACTCCATCCCGGACTCCTGCCTGCCCCTGCCCCAGAACCCAGACCTGCTCTCTGCCCTGCAGCAACTATTTTGTTGGGTTAAAAAAAAAATGTGTTTTGTTTTGTTTTTGTTTTTGTTTTATTCAGATGAGGGTGGTGCATTCTTTTAATCCCAGCACTCGGGAGGCAGAGGCTGGTGGATCTTTGAGTTCAAGGCCAGCCTGGTCTACAGAGCGAGTTCCAGGACTGTCAGGGGTACACAGACATCCTGTCTGGGTGGGGTATTGGTTTTTGATGTTTTTGTTTTGTTTTGTTTTTTGTACATGTTGCCTGTGCACACTTATGAAGGCCCGAGGAGGATGCTGGGTATTGCTGTCTTCGACCTCTCTTTCAGCTCTATTTCCTTGAGATAAGCTCTCAGACTGGACCTGGAGCTTGGCTGGAGGACAGCAAGCCTCCCACAGTCCTGCAGCCGGGGCATCTGTGTGGCAATGCCCGGCTTAGTATGAAGGCTCTGGAGATTCAGACTTACCCTCATGCTGTTCAGCAAGGCCCCTGCTTTGGTCTTTCAGGCAGGGTCTCACCGTGTAGCTCAGGCTAACCTGGAACTCATGATCCTCCTGCCTCAGCCTCACAAGAACTGGGATGACAGGCAGGTCAGTCCCACATACCTAGTGTGTCCCTTAGGCCTGAGAGCACCATGTCTCCAAATGCTAGGCAGACAGCAGAGTTCTGCCTCCCACCTCTACCCACCGCCCCAGGCCACACACAGTCACACACAGACGCAGACACAGCACACACACACAGATGCATACACACCACACACAATCACAGAATCACACACACAGACACACACCACACACACACACACACACACACCACACACACAGACACACACATACCACACACACAGATACACACCACACACACACAGACACACACACACCACATCCACAGATAAACACACCACACACAGAGATATGCACACACCACACACAGAGATATGCACACACCACACACAGTCACACACATGATCACAGACACACACACACACACACACACACACACACACACACACACTCCTCAGATCACGTGCTCTGAGACCTGGCACAGTTCTGAGGTTCAACACAGGCCGACAACAGACAACAGGCCTTTGTTGGGCTGAGAAAGGAATGTTCTCAGAGCCAGAGCAGCAGGGAGGGCAGGAAGTGGGGCTCTGGGGGTGTGGCGTGGAGCTGGGGGCAGTGGGTTAGTCAGGGGCCTCCAGAGGGCCACCAAGGTCCCAGCGAGACCCTGGAGCCCGTCCGTGTGTTGGCTGCTGACCAAAGATCAGAGAAAACGGGTCCCAGTGGCCCGAGCGAGTGGACACCACTCCGAGCTCCGGTGGCTTTGGGATGAGAAAGATCAGGACAGGGAAAGAGATAAATTCACACTCTCACCCACAGAAAGAAAACAGCAAACAGTCCAAGTCTGGTTTAGCAAGTCACCTATGACCAGGACAGAGTCACTTCCACGTCACACTTCACAACAAAGGACAGAAACAGTCCAGGTGACTGCAAACGAAAACACAGCGTGGTCCATCCACACAGAGTGGTCTGTCCACACGGCGTGGTCCGTCCACACGGCGTGGTCCATCCACACAGTATGGTCCACCATCCACACAGCATAGTCCATCCACACGGCGTGGTCCATCCACACGGCGTGGCCCGTCCACACAGCGTGGTGCGTCCACACGGCATAGTCCATCCACACGGCGTGGTCCATCCACACAGCGTGGTCCGTCCACACGGCGTGGTCCATCCACACAGTATGGTCCACCATCCACACAGCATAGTCCATCCACACGGCGTGGTCCATCCACACGGCGTGGCCCGTCCACACAGCGTGGTGCGTCCACACGGCATAGTCCATCACACGGCGTGGTCCATCCACACAGCGTGGTCCGGCCACACGACGTGGTCCATCCACACGGCGTGGTCCGTCCACACAGCGTGGTCCATCTACACAGTGGAATACCACACAGCAGTGAACAAGAGCTGGGCTCAGATGAATCCACCAAGGACATGGAGCTCAGTGAGGGTCGCACGGTCCAGTACAGGAGAAACCAAAGACTAGGAGCGTATCTGTGGGTGCCAGGGGCTGAGGAGGGGCAGGGCCATGAAATGGAGGCGATGGGTCGCGGGGGAGATTTCATACTGGGGTGAGAACGCAGTATCAGACTGTCATGTGCGGATCATGGCGGCACACAACGACAGCTCGGGAAAACCCTGAGTTATTATGCTTAAAATGGTGAATTTTAAAATATGCAAATCAGACCTGCATTTAAAATAGGAGAAGCAATCAGATTATCGGGAAGACACTGGTAACCATTTTAGAAGGCTCTCCGATGTCCCTCTCCCTGACCCCCACCAGATGAGGATGACGATGACAGATGGGTCTCCCAGGAGCCAGGGAGAAAGCGGCCAGTCCACAGGGCGGCGGAGGTGTCTGTCACTGTCACAAATGGCCATCAGCCCCTACGGGAGGGTGACAGGACGCAAGTGCAGGAGAAGCCAGGCCTCAGCCCAGGGAAGCCCCAGACGCCACTAGAACCCAGAATTGCCAGGGTCAGCCATTAAAAGACTCGGGCGTGGGACGAACCTTCCACAGAAGAAAAGCGAGTAAGCAGTGTCCTCCCAGACCCTTGTGACTGTAAAGTCACACCAGCCGGAGCCTGGTGGATGCTGAAGTGGCTGTGGTAGCCATTCTTTCTAGAAAGTTCCAAGGTCGCCTCCGACCCCGACAGAGACAGTGTCTCACTGTGTAGCCCAGGCTGGCCTCAAACTCGGAGAAAGCCGCCTGCTTCTGGGATCATGTTTTGCTTGAGTTACTGGGGACAGCACCCAGGCTCTGGTGCATGCTGGGCCACGCCCCCAACCCAGTGAGTGTCATTTCAAACAGTCACTATTTCTAGACACAAAGAGAAAACCTGGGACAATGCCTGGGCGGGGGGGGGGGGCAGCTTTTTCTGCTCTACTCTGTATGCCACAAAAAATGATTCTGCGCTGCGTACACACGAAGCTGAGCGGGCCCACGGGGTGTCAATCACCTGGGCTGTGGCTCCACACCAGGACCCCACGCTTGACAAAATGCACTGGACCATCAGGGGACCCCAAGATCCTTCACAAAACAGAAGTGTGGGCAGACTTCGATGCCTGCTACACACGCAGGCTCAGTTACCCACAAATTTAAAGTCACGTGGAACTGGCCACTCATTTAAGGCCAGCACTCAGGAGGCAGAGGCAGGGGAATCTCTGTGAGTTCGAGGCCAGCCTGTGTTACATAGTGAGACTCTGTCTCAAGAAAGAAAAGGGGGGGGCAGGGAGCTACACAGAGCCAAGTGTGGTGACCCACACCTGTCACCCTGACACTCAGGAGAGAGACAGAAGGAGCAGGGGTTGAAGGTCCCCCTCAGCTGCATACGGAATTGGAGGAAGCCTGAGCTACTGAAAACCTTGTCTCAAAAACAAAACAGTACAAGCCACCCAGAAGAACCATGTAAAAAATGGTAGTGGGTGGCTGGGGGCATCGATCATACACCTGAATCCCAGCACTAGAGAGACTGAGGCAGGAGGATTGACATGAGCCCAGCGCCTCACTGGGGGAACCTAGGCAGGTGCTCTACCCCGGACGCTGTCATAATCCATGTACTTTCAACCTGATTTAGATCACACACAGTTCCCTGACCTCTGTGCTGTGGCCTCCGGGACGTTCGTTCTCTGTGGGACGTTCTGAGCTCTAAAGCACTGTTTAGTCTTCGACCCACACGCTGCGTGCCAAGACCTCCCTGATCTGAGGCAGCCACCCAGGCTAGGAGGCGACCTTACACCACACTGCAAGCCCACTGTTGTTATTTGGAGAGGGGGGTCTCACCGCAAAGCTTGGCCTGTCCTGGAACTCACTATGTAGCCCAGGCTGGCCTCAAACCTACCATGCTTCTGCCTCAGCTTTCTGAGGACTGGGAGACTGTGCCTGGCGCCACCAGGGTGGTGATTCCCATTCGCACCCCAAGGTGGTATGGTGGGGTCAAGGTTCTGTGACAACCCGACCTCACACTCATCTTGGCCCTCACGGTGCATAGGAAGGGCTCAGCACATAAGTCCCTGGCTGGACACTGCAGGGAGCCTGCCCAGGGCTAGCTGCTACACCAGGGCGGGCTAGCTGCTACACCAGGGCGGGCTAGCTGCTACACCAGGGCGGGCTAGCTGCTACACCAGGGCGGGCTAGCTGCTACACCAGGGCGGGCTAGCTGCTACACCAGGGCGGGCTAGCTGCTACACCAGGGCGGGCTAGCTGCTACACCAGGGCGGGCTAGCTGCTACACCAGGGCGGGCTAGCTGCTACACCAGGAAGGGCTAGCTGCTACACCAGGGCGGGCTAGCTGCTACACCAGGAAGGGCTAGCTGCTACACCAGGGCGGGCTAGCTGCTACACCAGGAAGGGCTAGCTGCTACACCAGGGCGGGCTAGCTGCTACACCAGGGTGGGCGGTGAGGAACAGCAGGAGCAGAGTCCCACACCAGAGAGAGGAGAGGACCGGGCCGGGCGGTGGACGCAAACGGGTGAACTTGGCAACAGTCTCAGGCTCTTAGACCCCAGAGCCTGGTTCAGCGGCCACCGACGCCCCCAGACACCGACGCCCCCCGGACACCGACGCCCCCAGACACCGACGCCCCCGGACACCGACGCCCCCCGGACACCGACGCCCCCGGACACCGATGCCCCGACACCGACGCCCCCGACACCGACGCCCCCGACACCGACGCCCCCAGACACCGACGCCCCCGGACACCGACGCCCCCAGACACCGACGCCCCCGGACACCGACGCCCCCAGACACCGACGCCCCCGACACCGACGCCCCGACACCGACGCCCCCGGACACCGACGCCCCCGACACCGACGCCCCCAGACACCGACGCCCCCGGACACCGACGCCCCCAGCATCCCCCAGCAGCAGCGGTGTGCCGCCCACGCACCTTAACGTCATGGCCCCTAAAACTCCCACAGGAAGTTTCTGAAAGTCAGCCGTTGGAACTTTGTGCACCCCAAGATCTAAGCCCGTGCACCCTCTGCCCCGAGAGCAACGCACATCCTTGTCCCAAGGTGTGGGTCCCACGTGCAACGAGACAGCAAACAGGTAGCGCACCACTCCTTTTTAACCGCACCCCAATCCTCCCCGGCTGCACCCACTCATTCCCAACTGCACCCCACTCCTCCCTGGCTGCACCCACCTCCTCCCTGAGGTACCCCACTTCTCCCTGACTGTACCCCACTTCTCCCTGACTGTACCCCACTCCCCTGACTGTACCCCACTCCCCTGACTGTACCCCACTCCCCTGACGACTGTACCCCACTCCGCTGTCACTGCATCCCACGCCTTCTATCTGGCTGCACCCCACTCTTGTCTGACTTCACCCCACTCCTCCCTGGCTGCACCCCACTCTCCCACGACCGCGCTTCAGTCGCCCCTGGCTGCACCCCACTCCTGCTTGGCTGCACTGGCCCTGGGCTCCTCGCCTGGGCACCCCGACTCTCCCCAGCGCGCCCAGCTCACCTGCCTCCAGCCGGTGTCTCAGCCGCGTCTCAGCCGCACGCGCCGCGGGGCCTGGAGAGGGCTCCTCCACGGGGCGGGGCCTCGGGGATGAGGGCGGGGCCTCTGTAACATCACGACCAATCAGAAGCCAGGACGGCGGAGGCTGGGGCCGGAGGCGGAGCCTTAGGCCGGCAACCTGGTAGGCTCAGCCTCGGGGAGCGGGGCGGGGCTTCAGGCGTGAGCGGGCGGGGATTACGCGGGAGTGGCATCCTCACGAGCCATTCGCGGGCTGGAGGGCGGGGCCACGCTGCCTAAGATTGGCAGGCGTGGTGCAGTGGGCGTGGCCTCTCTGAGGCGGGGCTGCGGGGCGTCGGGCCCGTGTTTTGTTTTGGTTTTTCTGAGCGTATTTTATTGGTGTGCATTCGCTGGGAAGTGTGATGGTTTCGTTATGACGTTTTCACGCACGAGTATCACATGTCGTGGCAATGCTCGCCCCCGCTGCCCATCACTTCGGCAGTCCTTTAGAAGAACGTCCCTGTGTGTACCGAACCAAAGGCGAGCAGAGAACGACGCCCAGCAAGGGAGAGCCAGGGGCGGCAAGCGCGATGTGGTCTTTGAGGAACGGGTTCGAATCCCGAGCGGGGGCCCAGGTTAGGGTGGAACTATTAATAATTTTTAATTTGCTTCTTTGTTTATTTATCACTTCTGTACTCCCCCATATTTATCTCTATTTTTTCTATTTCTCTATATAGTAGTGGGTCTTGGGGGGTGTTTTTGCAGTACTGAGACTGGGTTATGCCCTCAGCCATCTTTTTTTATTTTGAGAAAGGGTCACACTACACTGCCCAGGCTGGCCTTGAACTCACTGTGTAGCCGAGGCTGACTTTGAACCTCCTGTGTGCTGGGGTGGACCCATGCCCCAGCCCGTGGGCGGGTCTGCGATCTCCACGAGCTCCCCTGGTGACCTTGGAGACATCTGGGGTGTCCCCGCAGGTAGCCGTCTTCCCGGAGAGACACCGAACGGGGACCCCTCGGAGGGTGACCTCAGGATTCCTCCGGATGACATTGTGATCACCAGCTGCAGTGTGTCCCCTGAGTTCCCTGGGTCCCCGTCATCCCAGCGACCGTGCCCACACACACCTGCGCACGCGTCGTGCCCACACACACCTGCGCACGCGTCGTGCACAGAAAGCCCGGACCTTCCCATCCCTCTTCCCTCCCAGCCTGGCGTCCCCACCCCGGCTGTCCCCAGACCCGGCCCCTCCACAGGAACCACTGTGGAAACAGGAGTCACCTGTCCGTGGCGCACCAGGTGATGTGGGAACAACACATCCTTCAAAGAGTTTAGGTACAGAGTTGGGCTTGATGGCCTCACCTAAGGTCCCAGCGCGTGGGAGAATGAGGCAGGGGGATTGCCCCGAGTTTGAAGTCAGGTTGGGCTACATAGTGCGTTTGAAGCCCCTGAAACAGGCTACATGACACCCTGTTTGAAAAACTAACTAATGCTGGAGAGACGGCTCAGCAGTTTTGAGCACTGGCTGCTCTTCCAGATGGACCGGGTTCAAGTCCCAGTACCCACAGGACAGCTCACAACTGTCTGTAACTCTAGTTCCAGGGGACCCAACGCCCTTACACAGACGTGCATGCACATAAAGTATAAATAAATAAATAAATAAATAAATAAATAAATAAATAAATAAATAAATAAATAAATAAATAAATGGATAGATAAATAAATAAAACTACTAAGAGGGGCCAGAGAAACGGCTCAATCCCCACTGCTCACAGGATGGAAGGCAAGAACCGACTGTCATAAGCTGTCCTCTGACCTCCACACACGTGCTGGAGCATGCGTGCATGGTCGTGCACGTGCGCACGCGCACACACGCATAAATTTTCTAAAATGTAATTTACAAAAATTACACATTTTTAGCTTGCGACTCCAAGTAGACCCAGGAGGCTGGACTGCGCCCAGCTGCCGCCAGAGGGCGCCCGAGAGCTGCCTCCGTGGACACACCCACTCCCCCCCCCCCCCCCCCCCCCCCCCCCCCCCCCCCGGCCCTGACTTCCCAGGCGCCCCAGACAGTAACGTCGCCAGGGTTTACTCTATTTTGCTTTTATTTTTTCCAAAATTATATGTCCTTTATGTGTGCATGTTTTTCCTTTGTGAGTGTGTACGCGCGTGTGTGTGCATGTGTGTGAGTGTGCGTGAGTGCGTGCGTGCGTGTGTGTGCATGTGTGTGCGTGAGTGCTTGTGTGTGTGCGTGTATACCGGGTTGTAGAGGCCTGTGGAGGCGAGAAAAGAGCGCCTTGAGACTGGGTGCTGGGAATGGAACCCCAGTCCTTAAGAAAAGCAGCCAGTAGTTGGGCGGTGGTGGCACAACCTTTAATCCCAGCACTCGGAGGCAGAGGCAGGAGGATCTCTGTGAGTTCGAGGCCAGCCTGGGCTACAGAGTGAGATCCAGGACAGCCAAGGACACAGAGAAACCCTGTCTCGAAAACAAAAGCAACAAACATTATGCGGACCAGCGAGACAGCTCAGGGCACGGAGGCACTCGCGGCTAAGCTTGAGGACTGGAGTTCGAGTCTCAGGACCCACAGGTTGGAAGGGGAACACAGACGCCTGTAAGCTGTGCTCCGACCTCCACACACATGTGCACACACATGATAAATGAATAAAGAGATAAGTAAATGTTTAAACAAATCGTCGTGAATGCCAGGATGATGCACACCTGTCCTCCTAGTGGTCAGGAAACTGAGGCAGCAGGATTGCTGTGAGTTCCAGGCCAGTTTGAGCAGCAAACTATACCGTGAACTATAGTTTTTTTGTGAGACAGGGTCTCTCACATGAACCACAGGCTGGACTGCGGGACTGGAGGGACTGCTGGCCTGTCTACCTACAGCGTGTGCGCGCCTGCATACATGACCGTGTGTGTGTGAGTGTGAGTGTGTGTGAGTGTGTGTGAGTGTGTACATCACGCCTCTTATGCGGAACTGAGGGTGGCACCCAGGGCTTCATGAATGCCTGTCAGAGACCAACCTATTGAGGCACCGCCAAACTTCACATGTGACATGGAAGAAAAATACATCCATTTATTCCAGTTACGAGCATGGCGTCTTTGGCCTCAGACCCCCTGGACAGTGCTCCACCCTGACCACGCCCCCAGCCCCTCACTGGGGGATTCTAGGTGGGGCTCCACCCTGACCACGCCCCCAGCCCCTCACTGGGGAGTCTAGGCGGGGCTCCACCCTGACCACACCCCCAAGCCCTCACTGGGGGATTCTAGGCGGGGCTCCACCCTGACCACGCCCCCAGCCCCTCACTGGGGATTCTAGGCGGGGCTCCGCCCTGACCACGCCCCCAGCCCCTTACTGGGGATTCTAGGCGGGGCTCCACCCTGACCACGCCCCCCAGCCCCTCACTGGGGATTCTAGGCGGGGCTCCACACCCTGAGCACGCCCCCCAGCCCCTCACTGGGGATTCTAGGCGGGGCTCCGCCCTGACCACCGACCCCCAGTCCTCACTGGGGATTCTAGGTGGGGCTCCACCCTGACCACCCACACCCCAGCCCCCTCACTGGGGGTTCTGGGCGGGGGCTCCACCCTGACTCACGCCCCAACCCCTCACTGGGGGGATTCTGGGCGGGCCTCCACCCTGACCACGCCCCCAGCCCCTCACTGGGGGATTCTGGGCGGGGCTCCACCCTGACCACGCCCCAACCCCTCACTGGGGGGATTCTGGGCGGGCCTCCACCCTGACCACGCCCCCAGCCCCTCACTGAGGGATTCTAGGTGGGGCTCCACCCTGACCACACCCCCAGCCCCTCACTGGGGGTTCTGGGCGGGGCTCCACCCTGACCACGCCCCCTAGCCCCTCACTGGGGGTTCTGGGCGGGGCTCCACCCTGACCACGCCCCCAGCCCCTCACTGGGGAATTTTGGGCGGGGTTCCACCCCTGACCACGCTGCAGCCTCTTCTTTTCCTCTGTTTTAATTTTTGTTGTGTTGTTCGGAGGGGTTGTTGTTATGTATATGTGCTTTTGTGAGTGTGTAAGCACACATGGGTGTGCACATGGCAGAGGCCAGTGGAGGTTGTGAGTGTCCTCCCTTTTCATTTTCTGTCTATTTCTTGAGACGCGTCTCTCCCTGAACCTGGGAGATAGAGCCTCGTGATTTCTATCCTAGGCTGCAAAGCAGAGTGTGATTCTCCCGTGGCTGGAGTTTCAGGAAGCCTGACTTGTTTGTATGTGTGTGTGTGTGTGTGTTTTGTTTTTTGTTTTGTTTTTTTGAGTTTTTTTGTTTTTTATTATTTATTTATTTATGTTTATTTTTCGAGACAGGGTTTCTCCGCGTAGCTTTGGAGCATTTCCTGGATCTCGCTCTGTAGCCCAGGCTGGCCTCGAACTCCAGAGATCCGCCTGCCTCTGCCTGTCAGTGCTGGGATTAAAGGCGTGCGCCAACCACCCAGCAAAATGACTTGTTAAAGGGGTGCTTGGAATTGACCTCAGATCCTCTGCAAGAGCAGTCACCTTCCCAGCCACTGCGTTTCCCCTCGGCCCCTGTCTGTCATGTTGGATTTCTGGCTTTGTGCCTCCCTGTGTGGCCTCCTGGGATTCGAGGCCGGAGTGACCACACTCAGTTGTACAAGCTGGCAGAAGATGGAGGACTCTGAGAAGGCGGGCGCCTTGCCTGTGAGTGCTGTGTGTGGTGTGACTGGTCAGCACCGGGTAGACTGTGGGCCTGTTACACAGAGGATGACTGAGCTCTCCCGATCTGTCCTTTAAATGGCAGAGGGGAGGCTGGGCAGGAAAGATGGAGAAGGGTTGGGTGAGAAGCTGAGCCACCGGGACCTGATCCAGGGAGGCAGGCAAGGCCCAGTCCAGGCTCAGGGCAATGGACTCGGCTCTCACTGGCTCAGTATGCTTGTTTGTGCCCTTGGGTGTGTCCCATCCATTACATCGCCCCTCTCCTCCATGTCCACCCCCCATCCCCAGCCCTCACCCTCGGTAGGCAGCTCCTCGCCCCACGGAAGCCATGCAGCACAGGGGAGGCAGGATCCACATGTTTATTGCAGGAAGACAAGGTCTACAGAGAACGGTACACAGACCCCACACAGGGCGGGGCTCCCACATGCGGGGGGCAGGGGTGGGTCACAGCAAGCGAGGCCTGGCGGGGGTCCCCAGCACCAGAGATGCCTGGGCAGGTCGGCCAGCAGCCAGGGTGGGCTCCCGCCTCCCCTGCCACCCAGCCTGGTACTCCCAGGATGGGCAAGGCTGGCAAGAGAGGCCTGGGGTGGCCCAGAGATTGTGCTATCAGGGTGTGTCCCTGAGAAAGGGCTGTGACCCCCTGTCCAGCCAGGAGCCGCTCCCGGGGCTAGGGAGCAGGAGACGGCTGTGGGGGCCCTGGACTGGCTGGAGGTCGGGGCTCAGCTACGCTCAGACGCAGGCTTCCGGCTGCAGCTCTCCCTGTGCTCAGGACACAGAGGGACCACACTGAGGTTGGCCCACCTGGACACCTGGATGCAGCTGTCTTTCTGCCTCTGTCTGTCTCTGGCCCTCTGTCTCTTTATCTCTGTCTCCTGCTGTCTCTCACACACATACACAGGACAGAGGAGCCAGCTGGCCCCGGCCCCAGCCTGTCCTGCAGCCCCTGTGAGGTAAAGACCGCGTGTGCTGAAGCCTCGGTGCTGGCACCCATCACTTGTTCCGCAGCATTAGCTGACTGATACAGTCTGAGCCACAAGCCAGCTTGCCACAGCCTGGAACAGGACCCAGTGCTCCTCAGACAGGCCGAACAGACAGGTTTACAGATAAATGGTCACCCACTCCTGAAAACACAGATCCACACACATACCAAGATGTCTAGGTACCCTCCACAGCCACACACAAGCCACTACGCAGCCAAACACACACCCGTCCACACACACAAAGTCACACGACACAAGAGTCTGCAGTCACCCTCGTGTGGGTGGGACACGACCCAGGAGCCACTCAGGTCTCCCGGACAGTCTCGCAGATACCACAGAGGCTCCGTGACTCGGGGCACACGGGGGACAGTCTCTGGGGCACATATAACCAGTGAAGGGCCCAGGTTCTGCCGGGGGCAGCAGGCACTGCCCCCCCCCGCTCCCACACAGGGGCTTCACTGATGGACTCTCAGCTGGACACCCTGTCTTCAGCGCCCCAAACCCCCACTTGGGGTCACCGTTGAGGCACTGCTGTGCCAACGTCTGTCTCCGTAGAAGGCCGGTGTCCAGATGGGCAGTGTCCAGGCAGCCACCCCACACTCCAGGCTCGGGTCCCCATGTGCCTCCCCCGAGGACAGTCCTGGGCTTGTGCTGTGGGGTGTCTGTCATTCCAGGGGTGGCGCTCGGGGCTGGCAGGGCATCGCTGCAGGCCCTGTGTTTATTGCCTGGTGGCCTGAGGCCCAGCCCGTGGGCCCATCCACCCTGGTGTGCAGACAGGAGAAGAGGACCCTGGACCCAGGGAAGGACTCAGGTCAGGGGTCACGGGGAAGGGACAGGACCAGATGAAAGAATAAGAGGGGGGCGTGAAGGAGGTCACAGTGATCAATGTGGGGGGCGGGCAGGGTGTGGACCTGGCTGGGAACACCCCGGGGAAAGGGACAGAGATGAAGAGGAGAGACAGCCTCTCTGGTCCTGGCCGGAACAGCAGGTCCTTAGCCGGGTCCCTGTTTTCAGATCCTCAGGGATCAGTGTGTGGTTGTGGGGAGCAGAGAGAAGAGGGGGGCAGAGAGAGGGGGAGGGAGGTATCAGCAAGGGTTGATAGCCGTGGAGGGGTGAAGGTGCTGGAGTGGAGCGCAGCCCTACTGTGGGCTGGCAGGGCGGGAGGAGAGGTGGAGGAAGGGGCAGAGGAGGGAGGGAGGAGGGAGGGGAGGAGCAGGAGGAGGAGGGAGGAGCAGGAGGAGGGAGAGGAGGAGCAGGAGGAGAAGGAGGAGGGAGGGGAGGAGCAGGAGGAGAAGGAGGAGGGAGGGGAGGAGCAGGAGGAGAAGGAGGAGGGAGGGGAGGAGCAGGAGGAGAAGGAGGAGGGGGGGGAGGAGCAGGAGGAGGAGGGAGGAGAAGGAGGAACAGGAGGATGGAGGGGAGGGGCAGGAGGAGGGAGGAGGAGGGAGGAGAAGGAGGAGCAAGGAGCAGGAGGATGGAGGGGAGGGAGAGGAGGAGCAGAAGGAGGAGGGAGGGGAGGAGCAGGAGGAGGGAGGGGAGGAGTAGGAGGAGGGGAGGGGAGGAGCAGGAGGAGGGAGGGGAGGAGCAGGAGGAGGAAGGAGGAGGAAGAGGAAGGGGAGAATGGGGAGATGGGAGAGAAGGAGCAAGAGGAGGAGGGAGGGTCCGTTAAGAGGGGAGAGGAGGGAGGGGAGCAGGGGCCCCGCAGGCCCTGGCCGGCTGTGGCGGGCTCACATGAGCGCACACTTGCCCTTGATGCGGTCGGCCCGCTTCTGCTTGCTGGAGCGCTTGCCGTCCACGCTGAGGCTGACGCTGCGGCGCGTCTCGAGCGTCAGCAGCTCCTGGAACAGCTCCTTCACGTTGTAGTTCATCTTGGCCGAGGTCTCCATGAAGGCGCACTTCCACTCCTGCGCCACGGCCTGCGCCTCGCGGGTGTGCACCTCCCGCTGCGTCTCGTCGCACTTGTTCCCCACCAGCATGATGGGGATGTCCTCCACGCTGCCCTTGATCTGCACGATCAGCTTGTAGATGGGGCTCAGCTCGTCCAGCGACTGCTTGCTGGTCACCGAGAACACCAGGATGAAGGCGTGACCCTTGGAGATGGACAGCCGCTGCATGGCCGGGAACTGGTGGCTGCCGGTTGTGTCCGTGATCTGCAGTGTGCATACACTCTTGTCACAGCTGATCACCTGCCTGTACGTGTCCTCTATGGTGGGGATGTAGGTGTCACGAAACGTCCCCTTGACAAAGCGGAGCACCAGCGAGCTCTTGCCCACGCCGCCTGCGCCAAACACGACCACGCGGTAGTCATTGCTCTGTTCTGGCATCTTCTCCGAAGCCGGCTGGGCGCGTGGGGCCGGCTGCTAGAACCCCAGACCGACCCTGTTGGAGAAGGGACAGGGACATGTGTCAAGCCACCTGGGCCCAGGACAGCTCCCTGTCCCAGCGGTCAGGACGCAGGAGGCACTTTCCCTCCTCCGTCCCACCCAAGTGTGTTCCAGGTGGCCCTCGCTGCCGCCAGGCTGACTCTGCAGCCGAGCTCTCCAGGCGGGCTCCCTGCCAACACCTCAGCTTGTTCTCCCTGGCAGAAGTAAGGCCCCGAGTTCCCAAGGGGACTCTGAGCTGGAGAAGGTGCTGATGAGGCCAGGTAACAAAGATGCACAGATCAGCTCGGCCCAGGCTCAGGGTCCCACCCAGCCGCCGCTCCACACCAGTGCAAGCGCCTCATACCCTGAGCCTCGCCTTCTTCCCGCCCCATCCTTATGTGTGAGAGACCCTGTCTCAAAAACCTCAAGGTGGGGTGCCGGAGAGATAGTTCAGAGGTTAGCGCACCAGCTGCTCTTGCAGAGAACCCAGCTTCAATTCCCAGCACCCACACTGCGGCTCACAACCCTGTGTGCCTCCAGTTCTGGGGACCCGATGCCCCCTTCTGGCCTCTGCGGGTACTGCACACACACGATGCACAGACACATAAACACAGAAGGAAAAAATACAGTGAAAAGAATCTCATTGTGAAAATTGTGGTGATACATTGTGTACCCTATTTAAATTTTTTAAATCAGGTGTGATAGTACACAACTGTAATACCAGAACTGGAGAGACGGGAGCAGGCAGATAGTGAATTCTGGGTCACTCTGGGCTACCGAATGAGACTCTATCTAAAAAACCAACGTAACAAATCTAAGGTCATTGTGGCAGCACACACCTTTAGACCAAGTGCTGAGATTAAAGATGTGTGTCACCACTGCCCAGCTTTAATCCCAGCACTGGGAGGCAGAGGCAGGTGGATCTCTGTGAGTTCGAGGCCAGCCTGGTCTACAGAGTGAGTTCCAGGACAGCTAGGGCTGCACAGAGAAACCCTGTCTCAAAAAACAAAAACAACTAAGAAAGTAAGCAAACCCACATCAGAACAGGAAAAACTACCACGACCACCAACAAAAAAAACAAAAGCACATTGGGAGACTCGGCACTAGATGTCACGAAGACTGGCATCGGGCCTGGCCTGGGGACCTGCTTCATTAAACGGCTCCTCTGCCTCGTGACTGGGGGACATCTAGGAATCGGATGTGTAAATCCTGACACTGAGTCCCTGGAAGCGGGGACATGGGGACTCACAGCCCAGGCTGAGCGGAGAAAGCCGTGGGGCTAAGTGGGGCTTCCTGTTCCATAGGCCTGTGCCTTGGCTCCCTGCTCAGGCCACTGTGTGCTCAATGGCACTAGCCCCAGGGATTCCTCGGGGTTTCTCTCCTGTCCTTGCTCAGAGAGGTTCATGGGTCTCACAGGGTCACACAGCATGGAGACTCCTGAAGTACTGGAGGTGGGTGAAGAAGGACGTGGAGGGGAGAATGCTGAAGGTCTGTGCCCACGGCTGCTGTCCCCATGGCTGCTGTCCCCCACCAAGAGTCCTTTTCCTTTCCCCCCTTCAAGTGGTTCTCCTCAGTGTGTGTGTACATGTGGGGAAGGCTCCGGGGCAGCTCCAGAGTCAGACCCGGAGAGTGTGATACCGAAGAAGTGACTGTGTCCTCGGGAGCCTGTCCAGGCACAGCCCACAGGGACGGGGGACCAGGAGTACGGTTAAGGGACAGTGCCTCGGGCCCAGCCTCTGATGAGCCCCCCAAAGTCATGATGAGCCAGGGTTCCGGAGCTGAGGACAAGTGTCCTCCGTGGGGTCTGAAGGCACATTCAAGATTGTCAAAGGCGCTGGATATGTTGGGACAGAATAAAAGGGAAATACAACCAGAGTCAACCCTGGTGACACACCCCGAAAACTTCTCAAGCTGGAGATAAACTTGAATGGTATCTGGATTCTACACAGGGTACTGCTTGGCCTGGGGAGGGGCTGGGGGGCCATGGCCTGGGGAGGAGCTGGGGGGCCATGGCCTGGGGAGGAGCTGGGGGGCCATGGCGTGTGGAGGAGCTGGGGGGCCATGGCCTGGGGAGGAGCTGGGGGGCCATGGCCTGGGGAGGAGCTGGGGGGCCATGGCCTGGGGAGGAGCTGGGGGGCCATGGCCTGGGGAGGAGCTGGGGGGCCATGGCGTGTGGAGGAGCTGGGGGGCCATGGCCTGGGGAGGAGCTGGGGGGCCATGGCCTGGGGAGGAGATGGGGGGCCATGGCCTGGGGAGGAGCGGGGGGGCCATGGCCTGGGGCTGCCCCCAGCCCAGCTAACTTCACGTGACTCTTGATGGGACACTTGAGTGGTGGACACCCTGTGACTCCATGCCCACCGGCCTGAGGGGATCTCAGGTGGCAAATGGAGGTGGGGTCTGCACCTTCCTGGTGGTGGGCACTGAGGGATCCAGCGCCTGGTAGGGATGTCCACCAGAGGGGTGCTGAGGTCTGGGCTCCCCGACAAGGAGGGTCCTGTGCAATCCAGGTCTCACTCCTTTGGGGACGGGGAGAGGGCCCTGAACTTGCAGTGGGAAGAGCTATGCTCAAGGTCATGCGATCTAGGAGGTGGCCTGTCTCAGAGGGACTTAAAGCTGGGCCCTGCTCAGCTGCTGGGCCCTAGGGGCTCTGAGGTGCTCGGCCACCCTGTCTGAGTCACCCCAAGCCTGGGCCAGCCTGGTCAAAACTCCCTGTCCACAGGTCAGCACAGAACTGGGCCCTGGGACCCTGACGCCACCCCAAGTGCAAGAGGCCAGGGGAGGGTCTGGGGGCGGGGACGCCGACTAATGGGAGTGGCTGACCTAGGGGCTGCAGCCTGGTGACGGAGTGATGGAGAACCGCAGCTTTAGGGACTCAAGTGGGGGCTCCTTGGGAGTCGGGAGGGGGCTGAGCAGACAGCAGGAGCCCTGGGGAGGGCTTGGCCGCCAGGGCGCAGGGCTCTTTGGGTGGTGATGAGGGACTCAGGCCTCAGCGGGCAGTTCGCAGAGGGCGCGGATGAGGGTCAAGGCTCGGAGGGGTCCGGGGTGAAGCTCTGCGTGGCCAGGCAGGGGTGGGGCGGCCGGGAACTGTCCATGGTGGCCGCTGGATGCCCGGGGACACAGGGGGCCGGCGCGGTGGCCCGGGAGGGTGGGGCCGGAACAAAGGGATCATGGTGGCCTGGGGACCCCTCCCCACCCTCGGTGGCCGCGGCCGCCCCGCCGCCTACCTGGGCCGCTGTGGTCCCCGCCGCTGCGCTGCCGTCCGCGCCGCCGCAGTCCCGATGTCCCCGCCCCAGCCGCGCTCCGCCCCGCCCGCCCCGCCCGCGGGGACCCGGGCCCGGGCCGATGCAGCCCAAGGTCACCGCCAAGCCCGCCCTGGTGTCCATCAGCCGCGGGGGGCGAGCCGAGCGCTGGGCATCGGACATCCACACCCACCCGCACCACGTGGCCGCCTGCACCCCAGGGGACGCGGGTGGGTGACAGGGCCCGCCATGTGCGGTCCTGCAGCCACGGTGGACGACGGTCGTGGTCACCCCGAACTGCAAAAAGGGAGAGCTGGGGATGTGGGGGGGGGGAATGCAAGGTCCAGGTCAGATCAGCGAGGGGCAGAGGAGGGTGATGGAGAGGGTGTGAGTTGAGGACACAGATCTGCACGAAAAAAGATGTCAGCCAGACTGGGGAGGCGGATGGCTGAGTTTAAAGGCAGTCTGGGCTACAGAGTAGAGACCCCTGTGGGGGAAGGAAGAAAAGGAGAAGGGGAGAGAGAGAGACAGAGACAGAGAGAGAGACAAAGAGACAGAGAGAGACAAAGAGACAGAGAGACAGAGAGAGAGACAAAGAGACAGAGAGAGACAGAGACAGAGAGACAGACAGAGAGAGACAAAGAGACAGAGAGAGAGACAAAGAGACAGAGAGAGACAAAGAGACAGAGAGAGAGACAAAGAGACAGAGAGAGAGACAAAGAGACAGACAGACAGACAGAGAGACAGAGAGACAAAGAGACAGAGAGAGACAAAGAGACAGAGAGAGACAAAGAACAGAGAGAGAGACAAAGAGACAGAGAGAGAGACAAAGAGACAGAGAGACAGAGAGAGAGAGACAAAGAGACAGAGAGAGAGACAAAGAGACAGAGAGAGACAAAGAGACAGAGAGAGACAAAGAGACAGAGAGAGAGACAAAGAGACAGAGAGAGAGACAAAGAGACAGAGAGACAGAGAGAGAGAGACAAAGAGACAGAGAGAGAGACAAAGAGACAGAGAGAGAGAGACAAAGAGACAGAGAGAGACAGAGGCAGAGAGACACAGAGAGAGAGAGAATAAAAAAGCAAAATCGCACGAAGCAACCCGTTGTTGGGATTGTAGCTGACAGGGTAGAGTGCTCGCTTGCTCGGCCGCCCTGGGATCTGTTCCCAGCACCACAGAGGCCCAGTGTGCGCCAGCCAGTCACCCCAGCTCTGGAGGCTTAGGCAGGAGGACCAGGAGCCCAAAGTCCGCCTCAGCCACATCCTTTCCGGGAAATGTGAGACCCTGCCTCAGACAGGGAGAAGAAAAGAGAAAAAGCCAACCCCATTCTTCTGGTGTCTGCTTCAGGGTAGAGCGCTTGCCCAGCATGCCCAGGGTCTGGCTCCACTACGTGCTCCCAGACTTGGGCCAGCGAGAGGGCTCAGGCGGTAAAGGTGCTTGCGGCCGAGCCTGTTGGCCCGAGTTGGATCCCTGGGACCCACTTGGTGGATGGAGAGAGCCAACTCCCAAAATTGTTCTCTGACCTCCACACACAGAGAAATCAATAAATAAAATGTAATTTAAAACTTGTTTTAAAGCCGGGTGGTGGTGGTACACGCCTTTAATCCCAGCACTCAGAGGCTGAGGCAGGAGGATCTCTGTGAGTTCGAGGCCAGCTTGGTCTACAGAGTGAGTTCCAGGACAGCCAGGGCTGCACAGAGACACCCTGTCTGAAAAACCAAAAACAAAACAACAAAAAAAGTTTGCATAAATTTCTGTCTCTGTTCCCTAAAACCTGACCTGCCCGAACGCATGACCCTGACTTGTTTTGGGGAACACCCAACACCCCCCAACCCTCTCTAATAGCCTCAGGCACATGGTGACCGCTGGTTTAGTTTGTTTTTTAATTTTTCTGCACCCCTTACCGCTCCATTGTCTTCTGTAAACTGCTTTGAAACTACTCATGATTTTACTCCTTAAAAGGGCCTCAAGAGGAGCAGGAGAGATGGCTCAGTGGCTAGAGCACTGGCTGCTCTTCCAGAGGACCTGGGTTCAATTCCCAGCATCCACATGGCCAGTCACAACTGTCTCATAACTCCAGTTCCAGGGGACCAGACACCCTCACACAGACATACACACAGGCAAAACACCAATGCACATAAAATAAATAAGTTTCTTTTTAAAAAAGGAAGGGTCTTAAGAAATAGACTCAGGCCGGGCGGTGGTGGCGCACGCCTTTAATCCCAGCACTCGGGAGGCAGAGGCAAAGTGGATCTCTGTGAGTTCGAGGCCAGCCTGGTCTACAGAGGGAGATCCAGGACAGGCACCAAAACTACACAGAGAAGAAAAAGAATAAGGAGGAGGAGAAGGAGAAGGAGGAGGAGGAGAAGAAGAAGAAGAAGAAGAAGAAAAAATAGACTCGGGTCTGCTCTCTCTAGCCTGACTTAGGAGGCAGTCGTGGCCAGCTCTCTGGTGCACCCCAATAAAAACCAAGCTTGCTTTAAGAAAACAATATTTTTTTCTTTTTGTGACAGGGTCTCGTTATGTAGCCCAGGCTGGTCTGGAGCTCACAGAGATCTGCCTGCCTCTGCCTCCAGTCACTGGGATTAAAGTTGTGCACCACGGTGTCCCACTTAGCCCAGCTTAAGGCTGGCCTCTGCTGGTCTCAGCCCCCTGGACTCACCTCCTCCTTCCCTGCTCAGTTCTGACATGGCTCCTTCCTCCTGGGTCGCAGCCCAGTGTCGTGGTTTGGTGTTCAAGGGTCTCCGAGGCCCGGTCCTCCTCTTCCTGTTTGTGTCCCAACCATCCTGGGATGCCTGGAGCTCTCACCCCAAGAAGTCACCTCCTTCCTACCCCGGCCCTGAGGGGGAGGTCCCTCAGGAAGCGTCTCAGTTCCCCCACCCTGGCTCCAGGGATGGAGACAGCCTAGTGGGAAGTGAGAAGTCTGTTCTGGAGGACCCCGTCCCACAGAAGCACCCCCAGCCAGTACTGCCCTCAGCCCTCAGAGTAGCTGGGAACAAACCACGGAGTGGCCTCCTTTCTCAGGTGCTGAGCACAGGGAAGAGGGAGGCTTGGGGCTAGCAGCCAAGCTTCCTGTCTGTGACAGTCACCTGGGTTCCCTGAGAGACTGGCCGGTGGGCTCTAAGCCCAGCTCTGGCCAGTTCCCGGGCTCCTTCAGGCACTGGCCCAGGCTGAGTCACACGGCGGAGCCTCCTGTCCACACACTGGTGCTATTTATAGACGCCGGGCCTGGCTCTGGGCATCAGGAGCCACTGGAGACGGCCTCGGTTCCTGCCTCCTTCCTGCAGCAGCGCCTCTGGGTGGCTGGCTGGGGTGTGGGGGGCACCGCGCTCTGCCCCACCTTGCTGAGCTGGCCAGGGCAGATACGTGGGCACCGGAACTCAGGAGCCCCGGGGGCTGGCCAGCCCTCACTACACACCCACCACTTCTTTGGAGAGCCCCGCTCTGCCCCAGCCACAGAAGAGGGTGCAGGAAAGGCCTGGGGAGATGGCTCAGCGCTTGAAGTGTTTGCAAACACAGGACCTGAGCCTGGACCTTCAGAACCCATACTGAAAGATAGCAGAGTGGCTCAATCCTGCTACGGCAGCACAGGGGAGGCTGAGACAGGAGGATTCCTGTGGTGTGCTGATCGGGTGGTCTAGATAAATATGCTCCACCACACTGACACTGTCTCAAAAATCAAGGTGAGGAAGCGGTGTGGCTCAATGGTTAGCGCACCGGCTGCTCTCACAAAGGACCTAGGTTCGGTTCCCAGCACCTACATGGCAGCTCACAACCATCTGTGACTCCAGTTCCAGGGGACTCGACGCCCCCTTCAGGCCTCTGCAGGCACTGCGTACACACAAAGAAAACCCCAGAATACATGAGCGGGCATCCTGGAGCCCAATATTTTGCTGTTCTTTGTGTGAGACACATCTCACCATGCAGCCCTGATCAGCCTGGACTCTATGGAGACCAGAGATGATGCAGTTTCCTGGTCTCCTTGGGAACTAGGGACACACATGGTGCACGGGGCACACATGGCTGCAAAACAGCCATCCACCAGAATAAAATAAATAAAGAATAGTTCCAATCTTCCCTGTTTGTTTATTATTTGAGACAGCACTCACTTTGTAACTCTGGCTGGCCTGGAACTCAAAGATAGCCACTAGCCTCTGCCTCCGGAGTGCTGGGATTAGCCATGGCCATCATGCCCAGCTTAAAAACTATTTTATTAGGATGGGCAGTGGTGGCGCACGCCTTTAATCCCAGCACTCCGGAGGCAGAGCAGGCGGATCTCTGAGTTCGAGACCAGCCTGATCTACAGAGTGAGATCCAGGACAGTCTGGGACACAGAGAAACCCTGTCTAAACAAACAAACAAGCAAAAAATAGAAACAAACAAACAAAAAACCCCCAAACCCTATTTTATTACATGGTGGGAGGCGGTGAGCACACACCAGTGCTCACACGTGTGCCATGGAGATCAGGACAACCTGCAGGAGTCAGGTCTGTCACTGCTGGGGTCGACAGTCACACTCCAGTCTGTCGGGCTTGGTGGCAAGCCCCTCCCCCACTGACTTTTCTTTCTTCTGTGGGGACACTGCCTGATGACACTGACCTGTCATGTCATTTCTCTCAGCGGGGTGATGGGGGCGACCTCCAGGTGTGACCCTCCCCTGGAGGAGTCACTTTGTCATCGGAGACACGTGTAATTGCCCCAAATTGGGAGCTCCTAGCTCAGGGCAGGCAGAGTCCGGAGATACCCAGGAGGCCAGGGATACCCCACGGAGAAAGCCCCGCCCCGTGGGGGAACGCCCGGCTGAGGGGCTCCCTTGGGCAGGTGGGATGTAGGGCAAGGACCGTCCCGGCCCTCCGCAGCGGCGTCAGAGGCGGGCTGCCAGGAGCTGGCTGTGCCCAATCCCGCCTGCTGCACTAATAACTTGTGTTACAGGAACACAAACACGCTCCGCGAGAAGCTGACATGCTGTTATTACAGAGGAGCGGGGGAAGCGGGGCCACCCGCCCCACCCTCTCTCCTCCCATCCCGCTGGGTCCCGGCTGTGTGTCCCCACAGGAGGCGGTTTGTGGAGGTGGCCTGGGCCCTGCAGCATCCCACTCCGTGCCCATTCATGACAGTGGCACATGTACTCAGCATGGCCCAGGGTCTCCTGGGGCTAGGGGTAGGGACTGTCACCTCAACTGGAACTCTGTGAGAAACACACAGGGCACGTTCTGGCTTCTGTGCCCCTCACCCAGCCCAGGCCCCTCCCACGTGGTTACCGTGGCCAGCGGTGGCCACGGCAGTGCCATCTCTGCTCATTCCTGAGTGGTCAGAGCAGAGGCACCAGCCCGCAGGGGTCCTGGAGATGCCCGGCCTGCTTCTTTGTGCAATCCGAGATGCGACTGTTTTCTTGTCACAGGAGGGAGAAGCCACTGACAGCAGCCCCTGAGTGTGATCTGCCTTGGTCCCAGCCCACAGCAGGGGGAGCCTGAAGGGCTCCGGTGGCAGGGCCAGGCGAGGGCCTAGGCCCGCTTCTTCGGCCACTCCACACCTGGCCAGGCCCCAGTTAAGCTCTGAGGGATGGCCGGGTGGTTTGGGAAAAGGGAGCCAGGCAGGCTTGAGGACTGGCGGCAGGGGTCTCCTGGGTCTAGGGTCCCGAAATCACTGTGCTGAGACCCACCCCCAGGACGGTGCTACCTGGACCCGAGGATCTGTGGGGGAGGCAGTAGCTCCGGGTTGCCAGTGAGCTGGTGCGGGGAGTGACTCGGAGGGCTGATGAGGGGGGCCCAGGTCCACGGTGGCAGGCACACAGGCTTGCTGGTGTGCCCAGGGGCAGAGCAGCTGGTACTGGGAGGAAAGGGTGCCACTTCACACAGCCATGGGGGAGCTGCAGACTCCCTGCCGGGACGGCCAGACACGGACCAGGCCCCTCCTATCTTGGCCAAGTCTTTCGTCACCTGAGTCTCTACCTGTGGGGGCGTGGCGGCTCCGTGGGGCCCACCTGGGCTGGAGGGAAGCTGTACAACACTGAGCTGCCCCATGGGTGCTGAGTGGAGGGCGGGAGAGGCGCACAGGAGGGCCGGGTGGCACTGTGGGCACATCCCCACGCCTGCAGGGCCAGGGTTCAACCTCACGGGCTCAACCGTCCGTCCTCAGTGAAGAACCCCTAGAAAAGGCAGGGCTTCGAGCAGTGGCAGGGCAGGTCGGCCCTCACTGGAGGCGCTGGGCCCCATGTGTCCCCAAGTCTGGAAGTGTTATGTGAGCCCTGGCTTATTACAGCAGAGGTGGCCCAGGCATTGGGGCTCCGGGGACTCTGCCCAAGGCCCGGGTGTCCCCAAGGCCCTGTCTCTTTGTACCTTGTATCTTCCGAGTAGGAGCCAGGTAGGGGGCCACCTCGGACGGGTCATTTTGGTCACCTGGCCAGTGACGGGGCACTAGGTGTGACATCCAGCCATCACAGGGACAGCGTTGAGGTGACGCCTGGTAGACAGAGGCAAGGTCAAGGGCGGGGATGAGCCATGCCAGCCTTATGTCCCCAGAGGAAGAGTCCTCACTCAGGTCGTCCCAAGATGCCGGTGTTGTCATGGCAACAGGCACCATGGTTGCTAGGAGCTGAGTCCCGCCTGCATTCTAGGAGTCTCCCCTGTCAGGATGTGGCCCTCACCTGGTGATCCCCTGGAGACCCCAGTGGTGAGGACACAACTCAAAAAAATAACCACCAAGCCACTGCCCACGTCCCACTCACCCTTAGGAGACCACGCTTGGCCCTGGAGTCGGTCCCCAACACTCTGGAGACTGAGACAGAGCAAGGAAACAAGAGGGACTTCCCGAGGGCCAGGCAAGCAGACTCCGGGCTGGTACACAACTGGCCTGTCCCCTGGGAAGGACAGCCCCTTGCTCACCAAGTGTCACATGTCACGCTGGAGCATCTGGAGAAACTCGGGTTGACAATGGTGGGCAGGGCCTTGGCTACACGGAGAACATGGAGGGAACATGGGGGGGCTGCAGCGGCTACCCACAAACCAGCTCCCTCAAAACCCACCCCCACTCTCCATTCTTGGTGGCTCAGCAGTGTCAGCAGGGCTAGGAGGGTGACGGGATATGAGGTGACATGGCCACACAGCTTTGATAAAGAACTTTAAGACTTTTTTTAAAAGCAGTATCAGTGGCGCCAGGCGCGGGTGGAGGGCGGGAGGCCCTGTGTGTGGACTGTGGCCCTGGAGCGTGGCCTGTGTCCTGCAAGGACTCACGGCTCGGGCGGGCAGCGGGGTGACACGGCGGGCCAGCGGCCCTCACCACTTGAGGAAGACCATGCCGGCCAGGACGGCGTAGCCCAGCACCAGGAACAGCACCTTGAGCAGCGGCTCGCTCCTCTCCTCCAGCTCCTTGGCCAGGATCTCCAGGAAGGTGACGAACAGGAAGGTGCCGCCGGCCAGGCCCTGCAGCAGCGCCGAGGCCACGCTGCTGGCCACGCTGCGGGCGCTCTCGATGCCCAGGCCCAGCCCGATGCCCACGGGGATCATGGCGCTCACGGTCACCGCCAGCTTGGCCGCGTCCTTCAGGGGCACCGCACTGCGGGCCATGCTGATGCCCAGGGCCACGGCCACCAGCGTCTCGTGGACAGCCACACCCACGAACAGGCTGACCACGCGCTCGCCCTCCTCCTGCAGCCCCAGCGCCAGGCCCTCGAACACCGAGTGAGCCGACAGCGCCAAGACCAGGCTGAGCAGCCGCAGCGGGCCCGGGCGCCCCAGCTCCCGCAGCCGCAGCCCCGCGCCGTGGGTGTGCGCCGTGGGCTCGGGGTACAGAGCGCGGCCGCGCCCGCCCGCGCCCACGAACGGGCTCTCGTACTCCGAGTCGCTGCCCGCGTCCGAGCCTGCGTTGAAGGTCTCCAGGTCGATGAAGGGCGGCCGCTCCCGGCGGAAGGTCAGGACCAGCTGCTCCACGAACACGGTGAGGAAGAAGCCCACCATCATGAGCGTCTCGGCCAGCGGGTAGTCGGTGCTGATGTGGCCCAGGCTCAGCACCTGCTGCAGCTGCAGGGACAGGGCAGGGTCAGCTGCAGGCCTCCCAGCCCGGGCTCAGGAGGCTGAGGCAGG